GTTTCCATTTCACCATCTCTGTCTCGCATCTCGCTCTCTGTGCTCTCCTCTTTCAGTTCGGGTAATTTAGTATGCATCTTTCTGCCGAACAAGAGTTCTGCCGGGCTTACTCCTGTGGTAGTGTGCGGGGTTGACCTATATGCTACCAAATACTTGCGCACTTCTTTCTTCCATTCTTTCCCCTCAGCTTGAGCTATTTTCATCCTCTTGACGAGGGACATGTTTTGTCTTTCCACTTCGCCGTTCGCTTGTGGCCACAATGGTGTGGTCTTCCTGAGCTCTTTACTGTTATCCTCCAAATACCGCTCAAATACTTCTGATCTGAATTGTGGACCCTTGTCACTTCGAAGTGACTGAGGTAGTCCATGCGTGGTGAAGATTTTCTCCAAACGCCCTATGACTTTCTCCGACGTTGTGGAGCGCATGATTTCCACTTCATAGTATCTGCTGAAGTAATCAATGATGACTAAGACAGATTCTCCTGAAGGTAATGGGCCTAACAGGTCGATGGCCAAATCTTGCCATGGGCCACTTGGTAATGGGGTTGACTTGATTGGCTCTGGGTTTGCTGGGCTGCTTACAAGCTGACAGCTATGACAGGTTTTGCAAAACTTCTCGGCTTCCCTGTCGATTCCAGGCCATCAGACTTTTGATCGCAACCTCTACTTCATACTGACAATTCCTGGGTGTCCTTCATGGGCAAAGCCTCAATACTCGGGGTCTCGGCTTGCTCGGTATGACAATCCTGGTACCACAAAGAATCAGCTTGCCAATAACACACAGTTCGCCGCATACCGGTATGTACTGCTTATGCTGATCACCTTTCCAGTTTCCATCCTTAATGTACTGACGCAGTTCCACAAACTCTCTGTCTTCTGATGAGGCTTCTTCAATTTCAGATGTTGTCTGTGGGTATGGGATAACGTTCTCTGATAATGGCTTTGTTAGCTCTTCGCATGTCCACACAAAGGCGTATTTCGTCATTCTGCTTTGGAATTACTACAAATGGACTAACCCACGGGGTCGGGCCCTCTGCTGGTTCAATTATGTCCATAGCTATTAATTCTTCAATCTTCTCCTTAACCTTGTGTCGAGGACCAAATGGGGTGCGCCAGACTGGTTGCGCCACCGGGGGTACATCTGGATTCATATGAAACTTAACTTAGTAGTCTTTTAACTTTCCCATACCCTCAAAGATTTCTTTATAATCAGACACGATTGTCTCATTAGATGTCATGGTGCAGATCTGGTTCCTAATTTCAACATGCCTGGCTGTATGGCAGTTTCTCTTTCAAGCAGTGCCGTCTCTTCGCCATTAATAACAACAAATTCGGCTTCGGCTTCTTTTCTTCTTTCTTTTTTGTGATAAATAAATAAATATAAATTCCCTCTACTCTCGCTAGTGCTGAGAACGTTCCTAGAACGTTCAGCGGCTGTTTACTGCCATACGCGTAAAGCTTCTTATCGCTCTTTCTCGACACACACTTAATCTTGCCTTGCTTTAACTTTAACCACAGATTTTTGTTAATCACATTGGTGCTCGCAACCCGAATCAATCAACATCGCAACTACAACTCCACCTACAGTCACATCTATTTTCTCAGGTGGCGTAGCAGAATTTACAGTAAATGCATATTCATCTTCATCTCTCTCACTTCTCACATACCTGACTGACGTCTTCGTTTTCCTTCTTTTTGTCTTCTCTTCCCGTCTAGGTTTGGGAGGTTTGGCTGTGTTCGTTTTACACTGCGAACCAAATTGGTCAGCTCCTCCGCACTTATGGGAAGTTTTTCCTTTCGCGGGGCACTCAGCCGGTCTAGTCCAAAATGTCCTACTTGTCCACATCTGTAGCATGCTCGCTGAGCAGGCTCCTTCCCTTTGTCCTCCTGCTTGTCACGGACAAAATTCACACAATTTTTTTGCCTTCCATGTTTTCCAGTTGTGTCTGAAGTCGCTCGTGATTGCTGCCGTCGAAAGTAACAGTTCCAAGGTTGAGTTCTCACCTTTTTCCAGTAGTTTCTTCCTTAGTTCATGTGATTTACATTGCTGCACGACTTGATCACGAATCTGGTTACCGGCTTGGTCGCTGTAGTCACACTCCTCGATCACGTGTCTTAATCGTGTAACAAACTGAGCCACAGTTTCGCCGCCCTCTTGTTCCATGCTGCGGAACACACAAATCTAATCTAAACGTCCGCCATGCTACTTTTAACAATCAACTCCCGACCTCCATTGCGTGCTTACCTATGTTATGTATGACACAGTGCTAAACAGAGATGCCTTTTTCCTTTTATCTTTTGCGTTTTAATATGTGCTATCATTTACTTGTATTGATGTTAATGGCTTACATCCAGGTGCCGAGAGGTCTTAATGGCTTACCTCCCCTAACATAAGCATCAAATGTTGTGTTTAGAAAATTTCCACTGTTTGTAGGGTACACTGTAGTCTTGCATTATACAGCTGTAGCTCCATAAATATACCAACATGACATTTGGTTGCAAGGCTCTCAGGGTTTCGCCTGTCAGGTTGTAAAAGCCAAAATAGTGCTTCAACTTTTTCCTGGTCGATAACTATCTGTGTGAGATCTTTTGAATAATTGCATGTATGATATTGATTCTTTTAATACATGTGGAATAGTAAGGAAGCAGAGCAGCAATTTAAACTTCGGGGTGTGTTGTTCAAAGCTGGGTTAAGGTAAACCAGAGTTAGTGTGAAGTCTGATTTCAGATATAAAAGCTTTAAACTAAGGCTATTACACCAGTAACAACATCAGTACACCAGAAGTAACATCAGTATGCACATCCTCCATACTGTTCTCTATAAATTTCCTGAGATGCTGGCGAGAAGCAGTACGTCTCTATATTGAAAAGAGAAGCTCTTTTAGTAGTCGAGCTAACGCTGAGCCGGTTCTGAAATTTAGCATTAACAGGACCAGCTGAACCATCTGCTTTAATGCTTATTAGCCCATCACAGTTGAGTTTTATGACACCAAGACTTAGACACGACGTCAGACTGTAGTTCCAATTCAGTATGACAGGAAATCTTTCATAAACCTGTTCATTTCCAGGGGGAGCACGTCAGCTGGATTTGATGTTGTCCTAACCGGAGTAGGTTCATGCAACGTTACACTTTCGCCACCCGAAGGAGAATATTTTATATTGCAGTTATATTAAAACAATTTATGTTTTCGATTCGTCAAAACAAGAACAGCTTTCCTCTAATTTTGAATACTCTAAAAGGCATAGCAATCTGCAGCTCTCGATATACGAATAATCTAAACATAGTACAAACCGAGAGCTGAACTGGAGGCCTTTAACAAGAAAGGGTTGCAAGGTCACCCTTTCTTCCTTTAGCGGTCTCCGGCCAAAAGTAATTACGCAAGAGGGCACTTCAAACGGCCCATGAGGGCGAAAAATACCACAATTTATTGAGGTATTCGGACCGAGATGAAACATAGATATGCAATTTTCAGAGGGTTATTCATAACCCTCGCAGATTATGGTTGTCTCATGTCAACAATTATGAACCAAGAACGCATACTGTGGTCTGCCTGTGGTGCAGTTTCGGCAAAGAAATCTGGAATGGTAGGAACTAACGGCCTATGTTAGAGCAGAACTAGAAAACCTCGAAACCCGGTACATTGACTGATGGTTTTACAAACAGTCCGGAATTTATTGCAGCCTATCGATTTAAATTACTTAAAAGCCTAATGAAATTAGGGAAAATATGTCTTAATCGTATCATTTTGTGATGAATAAGTGTGGAATGAAGAATTTTCTTTCCATCTCGTCGGCTCCCGCTGATAAAAATATCAAATTATTTATATTTATTCATAAGGACATCTTTACATGTAGGTGGGGAACCCCAGGTAGATGAGGTTCCGCGCCTAGCCGTGGCCGCTTACACTTATACTAAAGGCGGCGCCTGAGAGATCGAAAGCACCAAGAAGCGGAAGTACCTCTGTGTTATAAGACTTCCTGGGCTGATTTCATAATTTACTATCTCTTTTGCTTGTAGATCGAGCCGTTCCGAAGCCGTTTAAAAAGTTTGGTTAGGCTTTCTGTACATTTTCTCGTTTCTCTCGTGAAACGCGAATGACCGTAATTTTGTGAGATTGCTGATCTGCTTGTAATTATTGTTAAATTATTTAGTTGTCAACTTCTCGATCGAATGCCATAATCGCTTGAACTTTGCACAGATAATTTAATTTTGCTTCATTGAAATGCAAGACTAAGAAAATGCACATTTTTAAAGGGACAACGTTTTATTATGACTTTCAAGTGAAACAAAGGAATCAGAATCTCAGTACTCTGTAACTATGTCGGAGGATGATTAAGATCGATAGAAACTGAGTGAACCCTTTCATTTTTTAATTGTTTTTCTTTAATTGTAAAAAATAACTAGGTCATTATAGAACCATAACAACCATTAAGAAAGCTTCATAAAAGCTAAAATTTTGTGATGAAATTGAACAGTATGTGGCGAAAATTTTACTTTTCGTAATGAACACCTTCTAAACATGGCTAAACTGCTGGTTGAAAAAATGTGACAATTTCCCCTATCGGCCCTCCTTGATCAATAAAGAAATTTTTTTTTACGACAAAAAGATTCATTCACTAAATTTCAAAATATAACGAAAAGGACAGCAGATGCAACATTGGCATATTTTTTGTGTGGATTCGTAGGACATTTTAAAATAAAATACATGTTTTGTGTAAAGGCTTATAAAAAGTCTCTAACGCAAGAAGGGGGGGTGGGAATTTGATTCAAAATTGATCAATACAAAAGTGTTAGTATTTCCAAGACTAAAAGTATAAAAATATATAAGAATATATGAAAGCTACACTTTGTCTCCATTCACTGTCAAACAGTTTGTTTCAAAGAGTTACTTAATCAGCAAAAAATAAGGGTAAAGGTGAAATATAAATGGAAAATAGAAGATGATGCGCTGCGCTGCAATATCCATTACTCCATCCTTTCCTGTATGAGAAATTACTCGCTTACACGGCAAGATCGTCAACGTTAACGTAGAGTCGATCATCGTAATTTTTTAAGTTTATCAGCCCCTGTTAAAAAAAGAGACATACGATAAAATATGAAAAATGGGTATAAATTATACTTTACTCTGTTAAGCTTTCGAGGGTTTCTTCATTTTTTTTACCTAGAAAGAGAGTGTATTGCTGATACAATTAATTTTGGATAGAATAGTTTGAAATGGATTGTTAAAAAACCAACTAACCCTAACCATAGAAAGACTAAACCCAAAATATTCACAACAATCAATCAGAGCAAAGGTTAACATCAATATTAACTAATGAGAACTCAAGCAACCTCCTTAAAGCGCGGAAAAACGTGTGTGATCAGGCTAGGGTTAGTTTTAGTTTTAATTTTCGATTTCTACTTTCGAAACTCAATTGAAAACTGCTCCAAAAACGATTTAAATTGAAACCATAAACTACGCTTCCTAGCTTTCATAGTGACGCTGTTATCAAATTAAGTTGATGGTGGTAGATTCTAACAATCAAACCTTATAAAGGAAATAAAAACACAGAGAGTCTCTTTGTAAACTCTGTAATTCTACCTTGTGCTGGTTTTCCATTTCTTTGAGTTTTTTTCTCAACTTCTCAAAAGATGGTCTCAAGTTAGGGTCGTCTTTCCAACATTTTGTCATTAAGTCATACCTAAAAGGACGTCAAAAAAAAGTTTAATTAGAAATGGTTCGACCTCGACGAAGTTTTTTAGTCTAGAACTTCCAACTTTGATAATAAAGGACAAAAGATTTATGCAAGAGATATCAACTCGCAATGGTGTACTTCTTCTTTTACTTCCCTTCGTTAGGCTGGCTCAACTTGTAAAGCTGGTTCTATCTTAAGGCTCAGATGCAACTCGACCAAATACTAACGTACCATAAAAGCCATCAAGGAACAATGATAAGATACTATCATACAACTTAGCATCCACATGTTGTGGTTTAGGCATTCTGTATCCCTCTTGAAGTAAGTTTGCAATTTTTCTTCCATCTATCCTTGGATACGGTGAACCACCTGAATAGAGCAGGTAATGTTAATGTATTCTAAAATGAAAAAACTCTACAGATCTATTTCTTTTGACAATTTTTTTTCCGGCTAGGGCCAGTGACCTAGGTAATCTAAACTGGCTTGGTATGACCAAAAACCATTTCTACAGAGACTGGTAAACATTGATTACTACATGACTTCGTGTCCCCCCAATTGCTGAGGCTAAGATGACTCGACTGGTAATCTGTCTAGTGACTTACCAATCGTGAAAATCTCATAGAGGAGAACTCCGTAACTCCACCTGAAAAACAAACGGGATAAATTTAAGGAAGCATAATTTCTTCCTTGCGAAAAGTGTAGTTAATACATCTTTGGCGGCGAAGGGAAGGGGAAATGGGGTGGGGAGGAACACAGTAAACAGGTCATAGGAGTTGATTCCTGGTCACTACCTATGAAAAATGAAGATAACCATTCCTCACTGAGATGACTTCACACCAGCAAAATTAAAAGACCACAATAGATAAGTAAGCAAATAACTTTTTGCAGATCTGAAAACAGTTCATACAAAACGATTCTCATAAAGCTCAACTGCAGTGTTCGTGTCTCTCTTGTACTCACACATCACTCTTGGTAGAATATTTTCCGTAAAGCAGCGCCTCAATGGCAGTCCATTTTACAGGGAGACGCCCCTGAATATGAAGCAAAAATGTAAGGAGTTGGCGTAGTCCTTAAAAAGTACTAATACTTCAAATGGCCAGAACACTGTTACGAAAGTTCCTGAAAACCTTACACGATTTACTGAGCTTGTTTTCTTTGAGCAATCACTCCAGTGAGGCATCTTCAGGCTTACTAAAACATTATATGTTTTCTTAAAAACATTCATACCCCAGTTTTTCTTTGGTAAATATTGTCCTCTTGCACATCTCTGGCCATTCCAAAGTCCGTCACTTTGCAAGTTTCCTCCTCTCCAACTAGCACATTACGAGCTGCAAGATCTCTATGAATAACCTTGAACAAAGAAAAAACGTTTCTCTTGGAAAGCACCCTTTTACGAAAAAATAGACTTAAGGGACTGACTCAGCTGACATGGGATGACATCCTAGGCATCCACGATTCAATGGAAAGTAAGGTTATTGAGTGACAAATGAGGCCTTGTTCTGTAAGGACGTCATTCAAATAATAATTACAACACTCACGGATATCGATGACAAATAGGACATTCCATCTGCGATTTGCCAAGCAAACTTCATCAGCTGCTGTGAGGTCAGATTTGTTTGTGGTTTGATATCCGGGTCTCTGTAGTAAGTATCATTGAATCCACGGCTCTTTCGCAGGTAACCCAGCAGATCCCCAAAAGGAACATATTCTATCAGCACAAACAATGGCTCTAGGGAGACAAAGACAGTTTCGCAAATACTCGTTTATATGCCCCAATAAACGTCACTCTCCAATAAACGCCAAAGCCACTTGAAAGAGTTCGACATTTATTCAACGTTTATAAGAAAATACAATATTCACTACTGTACGATTCAATAATTCACAATTCTTGTAAATCTATTTTAGAACAAAGTAACCATAAGTTTATAAACTTGGAAAATCAATTGTAAAGGGGTAAAAAGTCAATGCCACAGAACTGACATCGTATAAAAATTTTGTGTAAAGGAGGTCATGTTTTATCTTAATCGTTACAACCAAAAAGATTCCCTCCCTCGCAGAGTATTCATATCTGTAACATGTGCGCAAAACTTAAGCACGCAGTTTTGGTCTTGGCTAATTTCTGGTCCACCAGTAAATTTTGTTGATCTTAGATCTCACTTATTGATAATACATACGCTGCTATTCAGCAGACGGTATAAAACTCTGTCTACTTCTTTGCTGTCAAATAAACTCCATCGAGACCTCACACGTGCACGCAAGAATAGAATATGCCCAAGCTTTAAGCGTCGGTCAGCCGCTTCTCCCAAAAGTTAACAGAAATGGAAATAATGGCTGATGGAATGATAGGGCGAATTAAATGGACTATACCCTTAAACAAAGACCCCCTCAAAAACAATAAAAACGTACTAAACGCCGCGGGGATCAACCGAGTAGATAAGTATCCTACAAGTGACATTCTACGTATTGATCTCAAGACAATTACTTTAGCTTAGACTAAGAGGGCCGCGTAGACCTCTAGGTGTGAGGCACACGAATAGTAGGGTCGCTTCTTGGCGTACCCATAACTTCCCGTCTCAAATTTGTTTCACCGATTTTTCTTTGACTTCTCGGAAAAAGGATGTAGTATTCGTAGTCTCCCATTAACTGAAGATCGCTTTTAAAGGCTATCAGTCGTTTCTTACACAGCTCGGTCGACTTGTACCCAGTCAGTTGGGTTGTTTCATACCCAAATTAATAAAGTATGTTTTATATGTTAAGCATCTTTAAAGTAACGTTGGTCTCATATTTGAAATAGCAATATTTCCTGCTTTATATACGTTTTTTTTCCGTGGCGTCCATTTTTATATGTGCAACTAGCGAATAAGTGAAGAATAAGTGAATTCATTACCTTTAATAAGAAGGATGGAAAAAAAATCACTCTTACACTTATTGTTAACAAAGTCACTTAGCCGTTATTGCTAACAAAGTCACAAGTGTTAACAATAGACTATTAAATTTAAAAAAAATGATACTTACCTTGCACAAGGCAATAATCAAATTATTTATCTTAAGAAGGTCACAAGTACGCAAAACGGAATTTTGCTTAAATCTTACTCGCTTGACTCTACTTACTTGTCGTTCGCAACAACGAAGATCTGTCCACGCACTCGCGCGTGAATTATTTCTGATACAAACCGACTCAAACTGAGTACAAATGGACTACATTTAGGTACGAAACGACTGTGCGTACAACACGACTGGATACCCTTTTGAGGAGCAAGATGTAGAGTAACGTACTCACTAAGCGCCCCCTCTCTAATAAGCTCCCCTCGAATTTGTTTTTTTCTAAAAAAGCTCCCGTGTTCTAATAAGGGCCCTTATTGCATAAGCAGTCTCATAACAATGAGCACCCCTATTCTGTTTCAGTAATAGCACTGTTAGAGTACATGTACATTGAGTTCAACCGTGGTTCATCTTCGTTTTATTGTTCACATATGGCCTCATTGTAAAAAACAGTGGCCTTCGTCTCAGTCTCTCAACTATTACGTCCATGTGAATGCACAGTTCCGTCAAACGGATTAAATGTTTGCCGCGTTTACTTGGGTCTTCGTTCTAACCAGGAAGGGTGTAGGGGCAACAAGCCCGTTTTCCATTTCTTTTTAGTCCTTTTCAAATAAACATCAAAGCTTTGTTTCACTCATTCTATTGGCTTAAACAAGAAGCACTCTGTCCCTGATTACCGCCCTGTTTCAAATAAGCACTCTCCCCTTGCCTACCAAGGAAACAAGTGCCCTGGGCGCTATATCGAATAATTACGGTATACTATATAAATTAAAAGAAATTTTCTCTTGGGCTAAAACACCAACATACCCTGAGAAAAAAGATACTTATCTATACTTTAAAACCTAATTTTGTTTGAAGGTAATCATAGTTGATAATAAACATTTCAGTATTTACCAGACTTGGTAACGCATCCCAGAAGTTTGATAACATAAGGATGAGGTTTAAGTTGTTTCATTAATTCAAGTTCAGACAGCAAATCCTTTCTCTCTGATTCAGAAGCGTTTTCTGCAACAGGATTTCCGATCAATCATGGTCGAATAACATTTCAAATGAATCACAATCATATCATTCAATCGTATCATTATATAGGTAAACGAAAGCAGATGGATAAATCAGTAGAAAGACAGATTGATAGATAGAAAGGCTGATAAATGGATTGACATAGACAGAGAGATAGACAGATAGAGGGGTAGATAGAGAAATAGAGAGATAGATAGATTGATAAATATTATGCGACTCTACCATACATCATATTTAAAGTGCTTTTCTTAGTGAACATAAAGCGTCGAGGCTCTAAATGCAACCATCATTCAAGGGGGAATATTTACATTACATCTTAAAATTCTATCGCTGCATCAAGTAGAACGAGCCTCAAGACAGACTTCTAAGTCAGTTCAAAGAACAAGTAAAGCATGACCTTATTTTTTGGTACCTTTCAACATTTTAACTGCTACGATCGTCTCCTTGGCTCTTCCTTGTAGGTTAACGGCTATTGCCTTGGCAACCTGACCAAAAGCACCTTTTCCAATGATCTGCTTTATTGTCACATGTTCTCTAGGAGTCTCCCAAGAGCGTGTGTATAGATCAAGAGAAGCGTACTCGCTGGTTTGTTCACTGCTGAGTGGACTGGCATCTGCCATCATTTGTGAACGAGTTCTGTCCTCCAGTGCCATATAATGGCTTTGAGGAGGTTCAGGCAATTCGACGGCAATCTCAAAGACAAAAGTGTTTTCAATTCAATAAAAGATGATAAACTAACCAACTTGCTTAAAAACTATTTCAAATCTTCAGACCAGCTGTCTCATGAAAAATAAACCACCATGTACTTGGACTTATTTAAAAATACCAATGAGTAATCGACTTAAACTTTCTGGGTTCGGGGGTTCGGGTAAACTGTAAACCACAGTGGGAAGACTCACAGTAAAGACAGCAACGTAGAAACAAAACACACCTGGGACTTCAGGAAAATATATCTCTATATGAAGCCATAAGATTTAATCGTGTAACTTACATGTATATCAGTATTTCCTCCTGTTTCATTGCTTGAATTTCCAAATGTTCTGAAACAGTAAATCAAATATATTACAAAATAAACCCAATTCTCTCGAACTTAAAATTTCCAGAAAGCTTAGTCCAGTAATAAAAGCCGCTGGAAACCGGATATAGGCTCGGCTACAGTCATAGCCTACGTGTAGCCGTACCCTCCCTCTTCAGTCAGACTTTATGAGCAGAGAACGTAGGCTTGCCCTGAGCTTCTCATCTGTGATTGTCTTAAGGGAATTTTATTTTTAATAGCCAGAGAGGGTTTCGTGTGCTCTGCACTCAAGCGTTTAAAGTTTCATTTCCCCCCGCTACAATTAGTGGAGGAAAGTATCTCGTGCTCAGAGTGGTTTCCTGCGGTCGAAGAAAAACAGACTTTATTCGTATGAACCTTCTAAATATATAGTAAACGGAAACAGTATTATGGTCAGATTAACAAAAATTTCTTTCTGGAGGCTCTACAATTTTGTCGACTAAAAAGACTACCTCAACTGTCGCCTGTCATTGTAAAAGAATACTTTCGGAGCGATGATAACGATAATAATGATAATGACAAAAATAACAGTGCTCAATACGTTGAAGCAGAGCAGAATAAATATTATTATATTGTTTGCTTCGATGGTGATACGTAGTCTCCATACAACAGCTCCAGTAAAAGATGTAACCTCTGCCTAAAAGAAAAATTCCTGATAATTTACCGACCCGACCTCTCATCACTAAATAAGCGTAACGAACTCGTATCTTCATGCCGACACAGAAACAAAGCGTTGCTACGCAACAGCTGAACTTTAAAGTTTATAAGTTTACCGCGTATTATATAAATTTTCCTAGTATATAAACGATAGTCACATGAATATTCTTTCATTAAACCCCTGAAGAGTGAAGCGATTCACGAAACAGGCTTGTCGGGAAATGTAGTTGCGTCCCTTTTTCCCTCTCATAATATTTATTCTGCTCTGCTTCAACGTATTGAGCACTGTTCCACGCGAAAATCGACTTGCAGACTTCCTATATATATATATATATATATACATATATTAAAAATGGTTAGTAGAACTCTCAGGCCAACAGCAAACACGAACATAGAGAGTTAGAAAATTGCGAGGATGGACAACTTCTGACGTAAATTATTATGTTTCAATTATTTAGGTTAATAATTGAAGAAGGTCTCTGACCGAAACATTTTTATTAAATTTTCTATCTTTTTTACGTCAGAAGTTGTCCATCCTGGCATTTTTTTCGACTCTCTCTCTCCCTCCCTCTCTCCCTCCCTCTCGCTCTCTCTCTCTCTCTCTCTCTATATATATATATATATATATATATATATGTAAGAATAAAACATAAAATTAAGTTACATACACTTAAAATTTGTCGCTGTTCTTGTTTTTTCAAAGTTTTTCTACAGATCATTACGATGCTGGTTATTGCACAGGTGACAATCATGAAATTCATTGTCCAAAAGTATATAGTGGTATCTCTGCTGCGCAAGACTACCTTAAAGGTGGTGGTAATTAGATCAATCACAAACATTCACATGAAAAACAGTGTGGGTGTTAAAATTGTTAAAACAATGGAGCCAAAAAGGAACAACGCAAGTAGACAACAACAATTCGAAAGTAAAATCTCACCTTCCGCTCATCGCCACCTCTGCAGTGAAAAATAAAACAGGAAAATAAACAGGAAACCAAAACAAAACAAGACAATAATTGACACCAAGCAAAATTTATCCCTCGCAGGCGAAGTAAAGTCTGTTTGATGTATATCAAGCTTAGTCTTAAAGTATAGAATATCATGGGAGGTCTTTTAACTATAATTAGCCAACCAAAAAATAGATAAAAACAACAGAAGATTATTAGTTTACAATGAACTGTTTTTTAAAAGTTCTCTTTTAAAAATTTAGAAATCGCTTTAACAGAGATCTTAATGCAGCGGATAGTGAATTGAAGATTGCACTTAGTCCTAGAAGAAATGAAAAATATTCAAGATATATTTCAAGGATGCCAAAACCAGTGTTCATTTGAGAGTATAATATGTATGCAACACTTACCTTCAGTGCCTTTCGTATTGCGCCTCCTTTTCCTGTAAGTCCACCAAACTAATATTCCAGCAACAGCCAGTGCAGCAACTGATCCAAACACTGTACCAACAACAATACGTATGGTACCTACAATGCGTGATAAGCTTCAGAAAATTTTTTCTAGTGGTCTTAAAGTAAAGAATCTGCGTCTGTACTCCTCTTATGGTCAGGAAACATTTGCAATTATCTCAGAACTCAATTTATCTCCTCCCCACAATTTTGCGTTTTAAAATTGATTACACATATAGAACTTAACAGGCTTCAATGCGTAATTATTTTCTAGTTCAGAAAAAGATAGGGCGTAACAATTCTGCTCATGCAAGGTTTAAGGACGTAACGGATAGTTTACATAGAATCTTCTCCCCTTTAACAAGCTTTTAAGCTACAACTTCCGATTGGTTATTCACAGCAAAACTAAGAAAGAGTGTGACGATAGGTTGTTCGCACTAACTAGACTTTTGCGGGGAACGCAACAATAACTGGGAAAATAGCTCGGCAGAGACCACTTGCAGCGGGAACGGAAACACGGGGACCTGCTTCAAGAGAACTTGCTACGGACCTCAAGGATGAGACAGCGTTTGGTTCAGTAACTTTATTAGGTTCATGTGGAGAACCGACATGACGTCTAGCGTACTCGAATTCGTAATTGCCACACTGTCATCAATATAATCGCCACACAGTCGTCAATGTAATTCAATGAGCTTCACAAGATACCTCCTTAAGTACTATTGGGAGCGTGGTGCTATTCTCTAAATTTTCAGCATTTGAATAGTACAACAAAAGTAGCAGAAAATGTCTCTTTGAAGTTATCGATTTATCTTAGCAAGTAAAAGTGAGAAGTCAATTGAAATTTACGCTTATCTGTGCGATGTTGGTGTTAAGTTTGAACAAGAGGCAACGAGAAAACTTATCGAGTGAAAAAACTAATTTACGGACGTAAATTCAGCTGGCAACTTCTCTGAGAAATAATTTACCAGTTACGTACCACAAGCAAAATTCTGTCCCTGTACTCAAAAGTTAAAGCTCGATTCAGTTGGACAGTAATCGTTTGTTCAATTGTTATTTTCAGGAAACTAAACTTCATAGGTGTCTAGAAAGTACTGAATCAGATTAAATTACTCGCTGCTTAACATTTACAAAGTCCGGCATTTGTCATTAAAGAATGCTTTACCTGTTTTCGTCCAACTCGGAAGCTCTGAAGATTCAACGAAAAATACACTCGATTAATTTGAGGAGAGCAAGGATGGCTGCTATTTTTTTGGACTCATGCGGGCCACACATTTTTTCCTATTAACCATCTCAGAAAAAAGGATGTAAATGAATCATGTTCTAAAACTATTCAACAAAAGTGAACTTAAGTAAATAAGAAGCACGAGATAAAAGGAAACATACTAACCATTTGTTACATGTTCGCCTAGAAATCAACAGTTAACTTGAACAAATGCACACCAAAAGTGCGCACACGTGATGCATACATTGTCCTATTAGTGCTCAAATCGGGGCTGGTTGTGATTGTTGTTGTTATCATTACCTTTATACACCAAGTTTTCAGATCTCTGTATAAACCTGCTAAACCTTCACACTAAAAAAATATGCTTACAATCAAGTACAGGCCAAGGATATTCATTAATCAACTTGCAACTTACGCCCATAGGACCGGTCAAGTGGTGATGTGGCACCTTCGCCTGTCGGTTCCACATCAGGTCCTTTCAATTTTATGGCAGCAACACTGAACTCTCCCAGCTTTCCATCTTTCACATAATCTCGAAGGGTTATGATAACATCTTGTTCCTTTGTAGTGGAGTTGAATTTCAGTGCAAAGTCAACAATGATACTTCCACACCTTGGGAAGACATTAAATGAGGGTTAGAGTGACATGAAATTGAAAACAGATAACAAAAGAGCAAATAATAAAATTTCTAAGTTGAAATATTTGGAACTGAGAGCAACTGGCAATCATCTAAATCCCATTAATTCACACACCTCACACATATCAACTGCACTCTTTCATAGCCAAGTTTATCAGCAAAAGCATCCTCAAGCTGCAAGTAAGCATTTCCATTGTTTGTCTTAAAATGTTAGTGTACATGTATCACACATAAGCAACTGAGGATGACACCGAATATCATGTCTTAAATTGAACATGGTTGTTTTGCCGAGAATCGGCTGAGAATCAGTCTCTGACTATTAATCAGTTGTTTCTTTAAAGTGCTACTTCAATGAATGATTGTTCTTCTTCTTGTCACTTGCCTCTTATTTTAATTTGGAAAAAGAGCACCAGGCCTCTTATTGCCCTAAATACAGAACATGAGTAAATACTGAATAATAGGGAGATTGTGTCAAGCTTAATTTTCAAGTTAAAGATTTGCCAGAACTCTGACAGACTGCGTACAATCTAGGAATTCGAGAAACACTGTAGACTTAATTAAATATTCTCCATACATTCTTCACGATCTAAATTTCCTTTTAATCATGATACAGCTAACACTCTGACCCTGAAGTAACAAACACACAGTGACAACTAGAATTGGCAATAGAACAGATAAAGTGAAGTTTAACACAGGCACACAGTTTATTTGTGAGACAAAAAATCCGTCCAACGTAAACTAATATAACTAATAATCTAAGTTATATGTACATAAGTTACCAGTTCTTTAAATTTCTCCAGTAAAAAGGATTGGTTGTATTTTCCATCTATACATGTTTCACTTGTGATGACAATAGTTATGTTGATCACATTTCCTCCAATGTCTGTGAAGTAGGAGAAAAATCATTACTAAGCGATTTACTCAACCTTTTTATTGATACATTGGTATTCCGTTTGAAAACTAGGGTTTTGTGAAAACTTTAAGACCGTTTAAAGGATATTTAACCTCAGAGACAATTGAGACACCATTGCTTTCAGTTAGGGGTTTGTATCAAGAGCAACTGGGCTTTTTACCATAGCTTACATGATCCTGGGCACTAATCGACGTTTCATCATAGTTCTTATTAGTGGATTGTATTGATTGCTTGCCAAATGAAAAATTGTGTTGTTATTATTTTTTCTTAGCATAAACTAGAGAAAATGTCTGAAAAAAATTTTGGGAGTCTTCTTACTGAAGCAAAACAATGTAAGGGAAAAGTCAGTTGCTCATATCAAACTGACCTTTTGCTTTCAAATTCAAGTGCATATACCATTGAGGAAAATATAGAGGAGTAGCGAAGTATCATTTGGTTTCTCTTGCTTTCATGTAAACATTATAAAAAATGATGTACACTGTAAAATACACAGGTCCTAGGTACTTCAGCTTACAATGACTAAAAGATGAAAGAACTAAAATCTAACCTCAATTTTTCCCCCAAAGAAAACATCCCACACATCTACAATTTTTCCTGTACCTTGTCAGAAGCCCTCACCATAGTTTTTTCCCTACTTTTGATACTCACTCTTGTATAAGCCACCTGAAGTTTAATTACTGCACGGCTCTCTTTGCATTCTACATGTAGTAACATTATCAATCTATTATATGTTCATTGTAATTATTTAAAGAATACAGATAGTTATCCTTTAAGAAAAAGTTAAAGCACTATATGGGCTTTTATAACCCGACAGGCTAACACCTCGTTGAACTCTGAGAACCCAATCAAAATGTCATGTTGGTACAAGTATGAAGTTACAGCTGTTAGATTCATGACTACAATGTACATGTGACTTACAAACTTTGGCAGTTTTTGAATCAAGTCCATGTGCATTGGCCACTCCGCAGGTATACTTGGCATCATCAAGGACTTGTGAAATATGAAGAGTGCTCTTGTCACAAACTTGTTCTAAGTCATTACATGGAGTCCAAGTGTAAGTAGGTGGAGGGTTTCCTACTGCTCCACAGTTAAGAGTTACACTTTGTTGTACAACAACAATATACTCAGGCTCAAATTTAACAATCTTAGCTGGATCTGGAAATGAAATTGGAAAATTAAAAATCAGATTAAAAGACAGCATCTACACAAAGATACACCTAATTTGTATATATTTATATTTCAAATCTTTAAGCTGAGATCTTACCAGATATATTGAAATGGATTGTCAAAGATTTTGAAATCAACATCAACAGAACATATTTGCTAACACAGATAATAGAGCACTAGAGTCTCCTAACACAACATCTAATCTTCATTTGAAGAGGAGTTTATATTTACAGGGGTGGGCGAAAACACCTCCCAGAACATGATAGAGCTTCATGCTCCAACCATTTTGGTCCTACTGATGAGTGAAAAATATATTTGGCAGCTAAAATTTCAACAGAAGTTGCCAATTGGCAACCAACAGATTGAGAAAAAAAGGAGGGAAAATGTGAAATATTTATCAATCCTTGGAATAATTATTAGTGAATAATCCTGTAGTTAAAACCAATTTCCAGCTCTGGAAGTTTCTAAAAATTTTTCGAACATGACAGCTTTATTCCAGAATCCTATTCTAGCTTTTTTCTAGAAAATATTTTCCAGTTTTTCCAAGTTTTAAGTTCTTTTAAAAGCTGGAAATAGCTGGAATTTAATGCATGTATTAGCTGTTGCCAGAAATTGACAGCTTTTTCCAGTCTGTATTTCTTGCAGGAAACTGGAATAAGCCAGAAATAGTTCACAACTAAACTGAGAGAAATTTTCAGCTTAGTCAGTTTCATTTTGTTTTAAAGTCTTGAAAAAGAAAATGAAAAGAAGTATTTAACCTTACAGCTTGCCATACATGATCGATTAAAAATCAGTGAAACTTAAGCAAGTATCATTGCCTCTTTTTTTTTCGGTTTTACCTTTATAATTTCACATAAAATTCTAGATTTACTTTTTCAAGATCAGTGAAATCTTTTCTTTTTTGTCAGTAGTGGTGATCAGTAATTTGATGTTTACAATAACGTCGCTGGAGACCCTGAGTGAATTGATTTATCAGTTTTGGGCAGGTATTCTTGATGTACAGTTATAAGTAACCTGTCATTGAAAAATGGATTCTCAACATGCTGATTTTTTTTCATTATGCAAAGCCACCATTCAATATTTATTAGCAGATTTGTATGATGATATAGTCATCTACTCAATGACTAACATTTTTGGTTTTAAATAAGTTTCTCATAATCAATTAAAGAATTCCGACAAATTCTGATCACCGCAGAGTTTTGAATAGGAAAACTGCTTAAGGCCATTTACACCAATGAAGATACAAGTAGAATAGATTGTTTCTGTTGTCTTCCTGTTTGTGTTTTAGTCCAAATTTTTCTTTCCTACAAATGTCACACAGCCACTTTTCGTCGTTTCCATTAGCTCCTCCTCACAATCCTAAAACAGGCAGGCTAACTGAAGGGATAAATTCAGCCGGTCGGTTTCCTTTTCATGTTACTGGTATTTCATCTCCATCACTATCGTTTGTGGAAAGCTTTTCCTCGATATTAAGCTCATAATGGTTAACGAGGGAGGCATTGGGACCTATTAGAAACTGCAAAACCGTAGAAAAAATCATCCAAAACCGAAAAAAAAATTCCCAGCTATTAAAACCCTGATGGATCCGATAGAGTCGTGACAATTGGAACATAACTACTCTAATTTCATTACAGTATTTGTGAATGCCATGGACTTGGCATTTGTATCTTCTAGTATCGGCTTACATTATAGTCATCATTTAAGCTGCTCTCTCGAGGACCTCGAGCGTGGTCTCTGCGCACGCAGCTGCTGGTAATGAAGCCCAGTCAAATTAAGGAAATTCGCACAAAATTCTTCTATAGGATTGCAATTTTGCAGTCGCAAAAAGCTATAGCTCTGAAAAGTTCCATCGAAAATCCCTAATCTAACATTTCCATTTGCGAACTAAGACCTGAAAGTTTAGTGACTCTATTGGAATTTTGAATCAATCAGTCACCAAGCAGTAGTGCCAACAGAGTCAAGTGCGTCTCATAAAGGAGAAACATTTGTACAAGAGACTGAAGCAACTATATGCTATTACAGAAGGACTTGTATTTTGCACCGAAAACAAAAAGTAATATTTTTAGGAGGTTCAGTGATTGGGAGATTTAAGAAATTAAGTTATGAAAGGAAACTCGGTTTGTACTTCTCACTACTAACGAGTCTTGTTTTAAAAATATTTTCAGAGCAGAGTTATAAATAAAGCAAATTGAAGAAGTCATTTAAAAGGTGTTTTTTCTCGAGGGGAACAGTGATAACCTCTATCTCTGTCTAATTATTGGAACTCAAAAAATATGTTGTAAGAATAAAAACAGCAAAAAAAATAACAATAATCAGTCACAAAAACAGAGCAGAAAACTAAAAAAAACAGCAACAACAATCATAAAAAAGAAAGATTAATTAGGTGTTGAATTCAATTGTCTAAGGCATAAAATTTCTATTAAAAATAATCTGAGCACTGTGTTTGAGGCAACCGAGCTTGACTGTTCCAAGGTTTTCTAACAAAGGCAACCAGTGATGTAGATTAGGAAAGTAACTTATATTCATATCTAAGAAAGTTCTTTAAGATGTAGATAGAAGTTGTGTACCAAGGAACAGCTGACGAATGTTTGATGAGTTTGGTACATCTGTGCATGAACACGAGACATTTTGCATCATAATAAAAACTTTTATGACCATTGAAACCAAGACTCCTTTGAGGTTAGAAAGCAAATCTGTGATATGAGTACACTGGATTAATTGGCAGTTTGCATTTAACACAATTAACTGCTGCTTCATTAGAAATATAAGATAAGCAGGTGCGAGCGATGTGTGCGGACAAATATCTGATCTCTCCGCGTTAATGCAATTTTTTTCCCCTAACTATGCCTATGGAGATCGCTGACAGATTCTGTAAATACTTTACAAACATTGGTCCAAACCTAGCTAAATCTATACCCAAGGTGAATCCTTCTTTTCGTTCTTATCTTGGTGATAATATCCATCCCTCCATAAACTTAAAGCCCACCACAACAAGTGAACTGGAAAGCATTTGTGACATGTTTGCTTCAAAGAAAGCTCCTGGGTATGACAGTATCCCAATGCATGTCATTAAATATGCATTTCACCTTATTTCTGCTCCATTGTCAGATATTATCAATCTATCTCTGCTAAAAGGCATTTTCCCGGACAAACTTAAAATCGCTAAAATTATTCCCATCTTCAAAGCAGAGGATCCTAATTTTTTTGTAAACTACAGACCTATTTCTTTGTTATCTAATTTTTCCAAATTTTTCGAAAAAGTTATGTACAATCGCTTGGTAGAATTTGCCGAAAAACACGATATACTTTACCGCTGTCAGTTTGGATTTCGGAAAAATCACTCGTCATCGCACGCACTAATTCATTTGGTAAATAAAATAGCTTCTGCAATCGACCAACACGAAACAACGGTGGGTGTTTTCCTAGATCCTTCCAAAGCATTTGACACTCTCGACCATCATATCTTGTTTGCAAAATTGGAGCACTATGGTGTCCGTGACGTGGCTCTGCAGTGGTTCAAAAGCTACTTTTCTTGCCGCCAGCAATTTGCCCAATTCAATTAGGGCCTGCTCTCCTATGCAAACTATCAAGTGTGGTGTCCCTCAAGGTTCGATTTTAGGCCCTCTATTGTTCATTCTATACATAAATGACCTCCCTAATGCCTCTGAATTAACAGACCCTCTGCTTTTCGCTGATGACACCAGTATCTTTTATTCTCACTCAAACCCAAATTGCTTAGAATCCGTACTTAATGATGAACTCCAAAATATTGATGTCTGGCTAAAATGCAATAAGCTCTCAGTTAATATAAGGAAAACTAACTACGTAATTTTTAAACCCAGACAGAAGAAATTTAACTCCAGCATTTCTCTCTCCTTTGGAGGTAAAGCCCTACAACAATCTAACATAACTAAATTCCTTGGGGTCTATATTGATGATCATCTCACTTGGAAACACCATATCAGCTATATATGTGAACAAATCGATAAATCAATAGGTATTATATTCAGGTCTCGCTTTTTCCTATCCTCTACAACCAAGCTCACTTTGTACTACACCTTAATTTATCCTTATATCGTCTATTGTAACTGTGCCTGGTCGTCCACATACGTATCTAACTTAAATAAATAGAATTTATTACTTGCAAAAGCGAGCTGTGCAGGCTATCACCAACTCAGACTATCGAGACCATTCCTCTCCTTTATTCTCCAAACTAGGAATTTTAGATATTTTCCAAGTCAATACTTTTGAAATCGCCAAATTCATGTTTTATTATAGAAATAACTTATTGCCTCCATTGCTTCTCAATCTGTTTGTAACGCATAGCCAAATTCACAACTATGGTACCAGAACAGCCAGTAATTATCGAACGCATTTGTGTCGCACAAATCTCAAGCAATTTACAATTCTTTACCAAGGTCCTAAAATATGGAACTCTCTCCCTGTTTCAGTCACCCGTTCATACCTTCTTAGTTTTAAGACGAAAATGCAAGAGTTTTTACTTAAATCATCCTTGAATTGGCCTAGCCGCACATTCGCAGCACCTTTTCTTTACTTTATTTATTAATTTAAGTGAGGTGGCTCTCCCATAAACCCAGTGGCTCCCTGGGTCTCCTCGCCTTCTAGCTATAACCGCTGTAAATAAATTTTTTTGTAGTGTGTAAATAAGGCAAATAAAAATATGATGATGAGGAAATTCCGTATTGAGGTAAAGATTTGCTGAGACTTAGTTTGAATAATAGATTTCATGATCTTTAAGTTATAAACATATACATGTATGTATATCTCTTGGTAAATTTTGTATATCATACCTTTTACTGAGCCAAAGTTTTCAGCCTTTAAAATTACTCATTGTCTTAAAACCTTCACATTCAAGGTATTGAGAATTTCTTGGAATTAATTTGGACTTAGGGGTATTTAAGTTGCCTTAAATTCAGGTCCCAGAAATTCGCAAGAATTCCACCCTTGTTAAATTATAAGGAGTTTGTATAGCTGAGAATTCCTAGGAATTCTTAGGAATTCCAAGTCCTCACAAAACTAGAGTCTTCCTTTCCCAGAAATTCCCAGTAATTTCAAGCTTTTCAATTCAGAGCTTATTTGCATAGTTGGGAATTTTTGAGGATTCCTAAGAATTTCCAGAAAACTGAGAATTCAGTTTACAAGGGTAGACAATTTGTCATCTGGCTCACCAAATACCTTATGAAGTGCAGCAAAAAAAACGCTCCTTTCGATGTGAGTTTTTTTGTTTGTGTATTTTACAGCAACCATTTTGAGTTTGGAGCCCTGCACATATGAACATAGCTAAACTACCATCAATAAAAGTAATTGACAGCCCAGTACATACATGGAAAGTGCATCTACTTACAAACAACATTCACATAAACTGTTTGGTTCTCTGGTTTACCAAAGCCATTATATGCTGTACAGGTAAATGTTCCTGCATCAGTCCGGCTGATGTTTGGTATATTCAGCACCTTTCCTTCTTGCACCACACCAACATTCCCTCGGTTCCCAACCTTCTCTTTGGTCCAGGTGATGTTTGGTTCCATCTCACTCGATGTTTTGCAGATTAACTGCAAGTTATCGCCTTCAAGAACAGTCGGTTCACCTCTTATCCCAGTAATATTTAATGGAGCTGAGAGCAATAAAACATTCACAAGTAAACTTCAAGGATAACTGAATTGCATGTTGACTCATAAGCGCACGGAAAAGTGATAATACTATTAACACGATATTTAAATGTTTTTCGCAAACCTTGCGCTTGCAAATGAAATTCAGACGTATCATGATTTTGCAAATTACACAAGAACAGTCCCTTGATTATAATCCTTTTTAAGTGCTTTAATATACATAAATGTCTTCTTTAAGAAATTCAGTGGACCCTCAAAAGGCCACTAAATTTTTCTGAATTCTTTTCTCAGTTCAAACAAGGCATTACTAAAGCATTCTAAAAAAAGATTCTGTAGAAATTAATATTGAGACTCAATGGAGCTATTTACAAGAACATTCCCTCAAAAAATAATTTCTTCGGGGACTCAGCCCACCAAATTGTGACGAGCAAATTATAATATGTCACCATATAATGACTCCTGCAATGTTTTTGGCCAATCGGATTGCATGATTCCTTACCGTGCCCTCTGCTAAAAAAATTTGGAATTTTTCTGATCACTCATGATGATTATCTTACAACATTTATCTGCCATTTTAATTGCAATTTTTCCAGTATAAAGTGATCAACAGCTCTTTGAATTAAATGGAACTTTAATGCTAAGAGTTAATTTCTATCTCATTCTCTTTTTAGTTTATCTAATTTTAATAGAGGTTATACACATGTATAGACCATGTATATAACTGTATGTATGTAAATAATTCATTGTTGAAGTTGGCCTTGTGAAAAAACAGCAACATGTTAAATTTGAAGGATTAGTCAAGTTTATTGTTGCTTTGTGATCACACCATTCTCACATAATTATCTTTATCATCCTTGAAATACATCTGCATGCAAGTGATTGGTCTTAATGCATCATGCGACAGAATATATGTTTATCAACAGTAGCCTCTATTTGGCATGAAAACAATCACAAATATTTGTCTACGGACATTATCTGTTCCCTGATGCAAAAAACTGTGAGCTTTAAGGAACAGGTCATAATCAAGGACAACTATACAAGCAAGTCAAGTCAAGTTTATTGTACACATACACTTAGCTTTTGTGAGAACAATCTCACCAGCTTAGGTTTAAACGCAGAAAGTAAAAGTGAAAAAAGAACTTAATTGAGATAATACCATCCGCAAATAACTGAAACGATATGAGATTAAAATTAAAATTTAAGACTATTTACAAAAGATTAGATATAACATTTCATAAAATGAGGAAAAGCTAAAGCTAATTGAAGATACAAGGTGTAAAGTATTATGATCATATCAAACTTGACGAGTCTAATTTTCTAATAATCATATTCAATAGTATAATTTAATAGTATAATTTTCTAGTAGCATGCTTTTGCGCAAAATAGAGGTTGTTGTGGTCATTATCCTTCAAATATTTTGCAACATATGGAGAAAAAGAGGTTTACGAGCATTATATTGGATATTTTGCTCTCCGGGAAAGTCCCCAAGTAACCTCAACAACTAAACAAGAGTAAAGTGTTCTATGGAAAAGTACCTCGGATTAAATGTGTCATGCACAATAAAATCCATAACATAAAATCCAATTAATCAATACATTTGTTGAAAGGAATGTTGAAGTTTTCCGCGTAAAGAATTACTCTTGTCCTTCAAAAGTCTACATACACATTCATTGGGCCCAAAAGACAAAAGCTAGATAACATTTTATTATAGTTATTGATGGTAAGAATCTCTAAAAGTCAGGAAAACTTTTAAGCTTACCTACAACTTGCACCTGAATTGCACGTCTCCACTTAGCAGCATTTAAGTCCCTCAACTCACAGCTAAATTCTCCATTTGACTTATCGTCAGCAGTAGTCACTTTAGAGATCAACAGAGAAACGCTTTGTGGAGTCGAGCTTATGCTGATCCGTTGCCGAAAATTAAGATTAACAGGACCAGCTTGTCCATCTGATGAAACGGCAACTATACCAACACCATTAAATTGTATGCGAACCGAAAGTAAATTTGACGTCAGACTGTAATTCCAATTCAATGTGGTAGAAGATCCTTCATAAACCTGTAACTTGCCAGGGGTGAGTACTTCGGCTTGATCTGATGTTGTCTTAACCGGAGTTGGTTCATACCATGTGACACTTCCGCCATCTGAGGGAGAATATTTAGATGGGCATTAAATTACAACAATTCATACTTTCGATTTTATCCGACAAGAATGTGTGATCCCTGAAAGGCAAAACGGGTGCTAACGGAAAACCGCTCGAAGGGCAAAAACGCACAGATGACGAACGGTTAACGAACGGTCAACGAAAGGTCCTTGAGGAGTTCGACCGGTTTGCCTAACCGTTCGTACGGGTGAATAAATTATTTGAACTGTTTGGTCAACCGATCGAACGGATGAGTAAAAATTTCAAACGGACGGGCAAACCATTCGTACGGGTGAATAAATCACTTGAACAGTTTGCTTGGCCGTTCGAACGGATGCATAAAACGGATAACGTCGAACGGACTGGCAAGCCGTTCAAACGGGTGAAAATAATATTGTTAATCCGTATGATTGGTTGTGCGATTGGTTTGCCAATCGAACGGATGCTTAAATGGTTTTCGAAACCGTTCCGAGCGCATGGCTTGATCATGAAACAGGCAATGTTGCTGTGTATTGTTTTCATTTCATTTGTCGTTGTTGTCAATTTCAAGGCCTTTATTCTCACGATCGAAAATGGAGACTATTTCAATTTCTTATCCAAATAACGTTTTTAGTTGTTGTCTGAAACTACTGAATATCTCATGAAGGTGTTTGTCATCGTGGTTGAAAATGACAGCTGAGTTCATTGTTTGTCTCACGACTGAGTCACATAGATGTGGATCGCGACGTTTTGACCGCTATACTGAATAACTGCAGAGAAACGAAGAGTGCAATTTTCTCCTTTCGAACGGATGAACAGAACAGACGTCAACCGTTCGAACAGATGCCGCAGTTCTCTGAACGGACACTTCTAGTTAGCGTGCGGATGCAAAAACCGTTGGAAACCGTTCAAACGGATGTCAGAACCGTTCGAACGGATGTCACAATACTTTGAACAGATGCTAATGTATTTTGAACGAATATGTAAACCGTTCGAACGGTTTGTCGAACACTTTAAACGGATTTTTTTAGGCATTCGAACGGATGACGAACGGAAAAAAGAACGGTTTACCCGTTCGAACGGATGACTGTTAGTGTCCGTTTTGCCTTTCACGGTCACAATTGTGATTCCTTTGATTTGAATTCAAACACCGTATACATTCTAAAAGGCAAAACAATGTGCTATAGTCAAAATAAAGTTAATCTAAATTAATTAAGGTACCTTATAAGATGAACCCAAAGAAGAAAGTAAACACATACTATTTGATCAAAATCCCGGTGAAATAGATTACCTGTGAGTTGAGGTGTAAGTAAAATCCATGTAAAGGTAAATTTGAAATAACAAATCATTTTAGAAATGTCCTTGATGTCCAGAGATGGGTCTACCGAAAGGCAGTTATGAAAACGAAGACCTAAGACCCCCTACGAAAACGAAAACCCATTACGAAAACGAAGACCTAAGCCCCCCCTACGAAAACGAAATCCCTTTGAGAAAACGAAGACACATTACTAAAACAAGTACAAAAGAGGTTGATATTACCTTTGTGGACAAAGATTATGTTCATAAAAAAATCTTGAATTCTGAATTTGGCACGTCTGTAATTTATTACGGAATATTTCAACAGTAGAGCCCCGTGGAGCTTTCAATGGAAATTCTTTAAAACTAAAACGAGATTTAATAGAAGAGACATGACATGCATGTGGTGGTATATAATGACGCAACAAGATATAAGTTTATTAATAACAATAACATCGACTAGCGGTAATTAAACTTCCGTCGAGGAAGAATGTAGTGTTGTTTGTCCAATAAAACATGGTAATTCGACCAATTGATTTCGATAAAATTTTTCTTGCGGGTAAAAAATTATAAATGAATACCTTATTCAAAGCGTCACGCTACTCCTCCTAGCGATTTATAAGTTTAGGGACTGGAAAAGCCCTTGGCAGCTGCAACAAAACCTTGGAAACCACTTCAATATGAACGTCCCTTGCACAACAATAGACATAACAAGCATGTGGTCGTATATAATGACGCAATAACATCAACTAGCGGTAATTAAAACGTCTGGCGAGGAAAAACTGTAACAAAACCTTGAAAACTTCTTCAATATAAACGTCACTTGCACAACAACGTAGAAAATCTGGGCAAAAAGTGTGCTGCAAAGGTACCTATATTGAATTTGAACATTCTGGCACTTAGAGAATTTGAAAAACATGGCTGGATTCGAAATCGATCGCCTGGATATCATTTTATTCTTCAAATCTCACGAAACAAAGGAACATAGAAATTTGCCATTAGATTGATAGCAAGGGTAGATTCTCCAAATAAACTTTGTGCGATTCTTGGAGTGAGTTGCGAACCTCGCCAGGGATCTCGATAAAGTCGTTAGAGAAGTAAGAGAACCGTGGCATGATACACTTCGGGTCAGCGTGGTAGTAACGCGTTGACTCCCTGTTTGAAGCTTGCTCATTTATCCAATCTCGATGCAAAGGAAAGTGGTACCGTTCCTTGTGCGAAAACACCAGATCGAATGGTATTATTTTCTGCCCGTGACAAAAGTCGTTCTCGCACCCCTTGCATGTTTTCGCATCAGAAGGCAGCATGCATGAGACAAATGGATGGTCATTGTTATAAATTTCATTGTAAACGTATGTAGCATTGTTAAACGATTCTTCTGACTGAATGGCATTTGCTGTAGAATCACTTGCGTTAGAGGGGCGGTAATGGGACTTGCTTCTAGACCCTTTCTTTCCGGCAACACATTTATTCACAAACGCTTCTGCTAGAGCAGTTCGCGGGGGCTTTTTTCCACCTTAGCCCTTGCAAATTTGTTCAAGGTGTTTGCGAAGCATTTCGTTTTTCGCCGCTACAGCAACGGAGTGCCTGCAAACTTTATCGGACTTGAAACTTGGGCACGGACACTATACGTGGTTAGCGTGAACAGTACACTCTACTCTTCCGTGCTTAGCGGACTTCGAAGCTACTTCAAACTTATTCTGGGCCCTTCGTCAAGAGTAGGCAGCCTTTGGTTTGCCGATGGACAATTGAGTGGCAGGAGTGTCCCTTCTTTTACCGCAAAGGCTACTTCTTCTTTGTATCCTCGCTCGGATACCAAAATTTTATATAATTTCTTGGGTAACTCATGGAACTCCCTATCTGTACATCTCTCGGCATATATGTCATTCACCGAGATGGTTTTCTTGGAAATAACGTCGTCGATTAACATCAAGTGGAACTTTGCGATGTACTCTTTTCTTTTTGCCACACTCCATTCAAACAAGACTTCCGCAGGAACAGCTTAGTCCGTCGCTATTTTTGATAATTCATGTTTGTCACTTAAACCGATGACTGCCAATATTAATTCCTCTTGTTGTTTCCGGTGTATCTCTTCAAAGATATTTTTGTGAATTCTAGTTTAGAGAGCTGCGTCGTTTCTGGCTTCTTATGCCCTCGAAGATAGCTTTCTTTTGCTTGAAACAACACATCGTTTATCACTTCTGAGCCATTGATATATGGTCTGGCAGGTTTCTCATTTGAGCCAGTAGGCATTCCAGCTTTTCGTGTTGCTTTCAAACTCATTCTTTTCGCAATCATTCTTCGTCTTTCGTCGAGGAATTTAGAAAACAGCGGCCGATAGGAGGATTCCTTTTTCAGCAGTTCCTTTTCTTTCTCGTCAAGCACTTCTTTTGCATTTTGAAGCTGTTCTTCTACTTCGGTCTCGTTCTCTGAATCCACATTGCCATCCATTCTCTCTGGAATTCCGAAAACTTTGTCAAGGAAAATTTTTTGTGACTTGGCTTCTCTTATACCTGTCTCGCGGAGTTTTTCTTTACAGTTGCTTTGGAAGTGACGGATACACCTCAAATGGGTTGCTATTGGAAGCTCTGTTTTCCAGGCACAGAATTGCTCCTCTTCTCCGTCTGTGATGAAACCTTTTCCTACAGTTAATCCCTTACAGCTACTTACACAAGCTGATGCCAATACTTTTTACGTGTAAAAGTTCTTTTTGTGATACAGCATTGTTGGACCAAGGAAGACTGGATTTTGACCGTATCTTTTTGTCCTCAAGGACAATTGCTTATATATACACTACTAGTGTACCTTCATATTGGCCCATGTTGAAAGTGAGGTCAATGCTGATGGGATGACTCAGACTCTTTGAGCAAGAAAATTTTACGAGATCGCGGCACATTATTTCTGTGCCGAGAACCCACAAGCCCAGCGGCATATATTAATGGCGCAAGACTGGATAAGGACTGGACATATTTGAATTTTTTAGACTTTGTACTAAGACTATGCAAAAGCGAAACTAATTTATGAAAAGTTAAGGAAAAGATACAAAACAACATTTAAACCTATTTACACCGTTAAAGGATTTCTCCAATGTGTTTCTTTCTGTCCCTTAATAATTGAAAATTTCATCTTATCACGTTCCTCGTTGCTGACAATAAGGTCAATGTGGCACGTCTTTGGGATGTTCTTTGGTTCTCTTTCACTTGCAGCGGTATTTGCGCCATCTCCCTGTGTATGATAACCAAACGGCATTTAACCTGATAAACTGGTTGGGGACACAATGTACGGCAAGAAGGGCTGGGTAACAATAAATATGTAGATTTAGCTAAGCCTGAAAGTGGAGCTCTGGTTAGTTTATTTTCTAGCCCCTCATTATAGTAAAAATTGTCGTAAAACTCTTCAGCACTGGCTGTAGAAGAGTTTCTTCAAGGGGATTAAGAGACCAGTCCGGGGGGTGGGGAGGGATGGGAAGAATTGGCGAGGTCTGGAACCTGGGGACGATGCTCTCACAACTTGCGATAAAACGCATTTATTTATTTATTTATTTATTACAATCTATGGTCAAAAAGGGCAAAGGATAATCTGCAAAGGAGTTCGAAACCCCATATTAAAACAGATCACTTATGACCTATTATTACTAAAGATAATAAATTAAAGAAATGCATTTATGAAAAGGAAAAATATAACTCGTGTTTGAACTTGTAATTTCTTAAAACAATTCCTCTTTTGGCCATTTTTCTTTCATGATTGTCCTCTGGCTGGAAATAAACGGCGTCTTTTTGATTCTTTCAATCTTTCTTTTTTCGATTCTTTCTGTTGTTTGATTCGGTAACCTCTGCTGCAATTACTTATAATGTAGGTTTCTTTAAGCTAATTTCCCATGATCTTAGCAACCCTAGCTAATGAAGTACGACATTTTTCTAACATGTTTCTTGCGCTGCAAAAGTTTGCTTTAAAAGAAGACAGGCTAGACGTAGAATGTCATGATTATAACTTGATGACGAAGAGAGACTTAGGATTTGATTATAAAGACATTTGTGGAAAATTTGAGACAATGCCTGGATTTCATTTTTACATCACAGCAACCAATTCCAAACATCAATCAAGTTTTCTCTTTAGTTCTAAAGTTGAGTTGACGTTGTTATTGGCTATATCAAATGGGTTGAAATGTTTTTGATGGTATTTTCTCATGTTTGCAAATAGTTGAATTTACTAGAAGGTAGAGTTATTGCAACATGTTAACATGAAACACAACAATAAATTTCATTGATGTGTAAAAGGTTTTCATTTGACTATCTACTGGCAAGTAGTTGTATTATATTTCAACCCAACCATTTTCCACAATTGGTAAACACCATTACAAAATAATTAGTCAGGAAAACATATACCATGTTTGAAATGTCATGTCCATAGTAAACGAACATGATCGAGGAGGGTGTATGTGGTAATATGCACTCTTGTCTGTATTGTTAATCTGCTAATCGCTCCTGTTGCCAATGTTTTGATGAGGTTGGGCTGTCAAGATAAAGGAACTGAGGATTTTATTAAGCAGTGAAATTTTTTCAAGCCTGGAAACTATCATCGTGAAAGCCATATTTGTGCCTGGTAACTCATTCTTATTCTGATAAACTAGTTTTAAGAAGGATACAATATTTCATTACAAATATTTGATGCATAAGCTGTGCACAAATATTTAATTTAACTATACTTTAATAGCCAATACCAATCCCTACGCGTGATGAAATGTCAGTAGGATCAGTTGAAAAATTTACCAAACATCTACAAGATTTAATGAAATTATTTTAATTAGATTAATACTAGCTGATACTAGGAGATCTGAGAATATTCAAAAGAATGTAAAATTTGTTTGAAAAATTGGAACTCAGCATAGGCCAAATAAACAAGACTCTTAGAAAAAGAAATGTGTACTAATGAAAAAAGCTAAGAAACCTTTTTACCGGTTTTATATGTTGCAAACACACACACACAAGCAGATTTCTTATAAACCTGTAGTTCAAGCCTGCCATGACTTCAAAATTTTGATGCTCACCTCAAA